AGCACCAAGGTTAAGCGAGATGATGGATGTAACAAAAGAATTTGTTCCCATTTCCTGCTGATTGTTCTGTTCTCCAGTTTGAGGCATTTGTGGTAGGGAGGTCTTCAAGTTTATATATAACAAACATGCTATCAGTAGCCCCCCAGCTACAGCAGCAGTCTGGCTTTCCTTCACACAGGCTGGTTATTCTAACACCAAACTTTTAACACTTGTGGGTTTGGTTGTTTTGGGGTTTTTCTTTTTTTTTTTTTTTTTTTTTTTTTTTTTAAGTCGGTTATGTCTGAAAACCATGTATAACTTTTAGTTTGTGAGAAACTGTATGGTTAATGTAACTTTGTTTAATAACAAACTGCAGAAACAAAACTGGAATAGCTCTAATTTCTTCATGTAGAACTGATCAGCTTTTCCTCTCTGTTCTGACACTTGTGTTGTTGAATCTCCTGTAAAGCTTCTCCCGGGTGAAGTGGAAAGTGGTGCGGTTTTGTGGCATGATGAGCATTTTTCTCCATGAGAAATGCATTATTACAGCCCTGGGTGAGAAGTTCACTGTCCTCCTAGAATGCTACCTTAATTCCATAGAGTATTTGGGCAATGATTGAGCATAGATTACTTGAATTTCCACTAGCTTGTTGTTTTTTTCCATTAAAAAATAAACACGTTTTTAAGGGGTTTAATATAAAATTAGTCTAGAACTATTTCACTTTGTTTTTATGAACATGCCACATTGATAAGCAGCTTTAATCTGTAAAGTTTTTGGTAACTGCAAGAAGATACTCGAAAGCTATGCATTTTAGAGAAAGCATAAAGGTAGTGATATTGGTACTTCTAAGGATCTTTATATTAGTGTATATAAAATAGTTTGCATATACAAATATAATATATAATCTGTTTGAAATATTCTTGAATGGTAGGGGCTGTGAAACATATTATAATTTATGGAAATATTGTACACAGTAAACAGATGTCTCAGTACACAAATGAATTTTTGTCATATGCATGAGAAGTGTCTTACTTGGTGACTACTAATGAATGGGCTTTTGTTAACCCATTTTTGTTAGATAACCACTTTAACAAATACTATTAAAAGCCACTTTGATCAGTTTGCTTTAGTGTAAAAATACATATTTTGTTCCACTGAATTTAGAACAATATGAAAATAACTTTTGTAAGAAGATTTGTTCCAAACCCAACGTTGGCAGACAGATCTGATTATTAAAGGTGGTGCACATATCCTCCCCCAGCCTGCCTTTGGTGAAAGCAAATAAGATTTTTTCATTCATGCTATGGATGTGGAGAAGCTGGATTGTAAAATATCCTGTCTTACAGAAAGGCTGCACAGCAAATGTGTTTTGATTAGGCTGCAAATCTCCCTCCTTTTCCCAAAGCCATCACCTCCCTGTAACTGTCTTTGCTGTTCCCATGTTTTGTTTCTGCCTGTCAAATCTAAGCTGAGTTGTGGCTGCTTCTGTTGTACAAAGGAGGGATTTTGGAAGGGTGGGGGTTCACAGACTTTCCTGAAGATGAAGTTGTGGTGATACTTTGAGAAACACTTACTGAACTGTTTCATTTTATATAGTTGGAAAAGTGGAGGCTGCTGCACAGAAACTGAACAGCAGAATTTTGAGTAAAGCATTTCCTTTCAAGACTTTTGAAGAGGCAAATGTACACCTTTAAGCCAGATGAAGTATCTCTCTCTTTAAGATGATTTCATTGAAACACTTTCAGCTTCTTCCTCAAACATTAAAAGAAAAATTGAAAAGAATTCTGCCTCCTTTCCACTCCTTGTAAATACAGGAAAAGCCACTACATTATTCCAGGGTGATTTTATTGTTTTTAATTTGTAATATTTATGCTTTGTATGCTTGAGTATAAGCTTAAAGGCATTACTTAAAAAAATCCTTGACTAGCTGAGTGTTGTTCGACTTATTTCAAACCACCTTGTGTCCAAGTGGGTTGCAAAGCTCATTAAATGGAGTTGGATCCCTGTGTGTTGTGTCTTCACGGGAAATGGGGCTGCTGCTGTCAGCCACGGCTGAGAGCATCCTTGAGAGCCAGAACAGAACAGGATATGGAGTCCTATTTGCCCAAAATCTGCCTTGAGGCTCCAGGTTCTGACCTGCACTGTAGCTCTCTCTTCCCTCCAGAAGCGACACCACGTCAGGAATTGTTTCTGCTCTGCTGTGCTTAACAAAAAGGGACGAGGAGGGTTTGTAGCTTTTGTGTGAGATGATGTCCCCAGCCCTGCTCGGTGCTTGGTGTGCTCAGCTGAGCAGAGACAGAGCACAGAGCTCATGAACAGCACCCTCAAATGGATTTGTACTTCTCCATGGGCACCTCGAGGTGCTACAAACTATTTTTATTCCTTTCTGCTCCCCTCCTGCCTTCACCTGATTAAGTTAAGCACAAAGTTGGTCAGATCACTGGTGGGCTGCATGTTGATGATTTCAGGCACCTCAGACCAGAAAACCCTAAGTGTTCTGCCATGCTCTTCATGAGGATTACAAATGATTCCAACACTATCCTGCTACCTTGTCTCACCTGGATGATTTGCTGCATGGAAGCTGCTGTTCATTTACAAGCAGGCTCAATTTGCCAACATCTTTGATAATTTGCTTTTTTTTTTTCTTTTTTTCCAGTGTATTACTGCCTAGTAATTTTGCCAAGTTGGATTATTTAGCAGTGGAAACCCAGGTGTGTTTGCATTATTGTGTGGAGAAGTTGCATTGAAACTGCTGGGTTAGGGAGATTTCAAGCTGAAGTCACTGTCCTTTTAGGAGACAACAATTGTCCTTCGTGGAATGTATGAGCCTATTGCTCCATTCATACCCTTTCAGGTATTGATCCTAATCTGTACTTAATAAAATCTTCAAATAATTCAACCACTGTATGGGTAAACTACAGGGATAGTAAATGTCAGGTCAAATATTAATCTAGGAATCTTTTCTTTGGTTTAATCTTTTGACAGATTAAGCTGAACACAGGAAAAATGACAGGAGGTTGTGTTCTTGTATAAGATTATTTTCTTTAGTCAGTACCTGTTCTCTAAGCTGATTCCCATTTGTCATTTAATCAGCTTGGTGGGAGTTTTGCTTATAGAAAATCATACAGCAGTAAAAGGAATGATGTCTGTGTATTTACTCTTTATTTATGTGAATGTGATGGATGTTGCACTCAAACACTTTCAACTGCAGCTGGTTTGGACAGTGAAAGTGACTTCTTATCTGAGAGGCAGATTAGTCAAGCTGCTAATGGAAGAGGTGGCACTGAGCAAGACAAGGAAAGGAACAAAAGAGTACAAAAATAGCAAAAATTTGTGATTGATTTCCAACTCGACTACTTACTCATTGAAATTATGATTCATTGTTGCAGTGTCCGTGTTGGAAGTGTTTGCACCCCTCAGTGGTGAGACTGAACACAGGATCCCTCATTCCTGGCCATGAGTTGATAAGTTTTCTAGATCTGTGGTTACTCTACCACACGCCCAAGGCCTCTTCATTTCTTTCCTGAGCTTATTGCATGGAATTCACTTCTGTAGTTACATCAGAGTTCATCTCCCCTCCTGCTTCGAGTTGACTGGACTCCACACATAACATTTAAAAAACCCAAAATACATCGAACACTGGTTTAAATTTTTGGCTGCAATTTGCCATGACTTGGCTCCCTCTTCTGGAAAAGGGGACAGTAGCAGAGTGAATAAAAATACTTCAGTTTCGTTTTCAGTCCAAATAAAGGGAGGGAAGCCTACAACTAAATGAAAACTAAGGTGGTTACTACATGTGGTTCCCCTCAGTCTCTACTTGCAGCAAAGCTCGTTGTATTTGTGTGTCTGTGTGACTGTGTGTGACTATGCCACAGGCCTTTTGGGGAAGATCTCTTTTTTCCGAGGAAGAAACACCAAAGCAAAGGATAAAGTATGACTTGATTTTTTGCTTTTTCAGCAACCTCCTTCTCCTGGAACTGTCTTTGGTGTATAAGGAACCTTTTTGTTATTTCACTCTCAAAGGTTCAGCTCAATAATCAGCCTCCTGATTTATGTAGCAAGCTGTTCATCTGGGGCCTGCCAAGGGATTCATGTTGGGAGAAGAATATTTGAATTACCTAAATATTAGTCTGCTATAGGCTCCATTCCACCAAGGATTGAGAGGTTTCTGGCTGCAGGAATAGCAGACAGGAGGTGCAGCCCAGCAACTCTGGTACCTTTCCCGGGGGCCATGCACGACCTTGCTCGGGCTGTGCGGGAGCTCCTCCATCCTTTGCTCACCTGAAGTTTTGCCGTTCCTGCTTCCAGCCTGCAATCGGCCACAGCATCACCCGAGCGATGCCTCAACAAGGCTCCTCCGCTGCTTGTTCATGATCTCTAAGTGCGTCACGAGTCATTTTGTTGCGGACTGAGATAACCATCACTTAAATTATTTATTTCCATAAAGGAGTTAGATTATCTCCTTCAGATACAGCAAGGCAGCGCCTCTATCCAACAGACATAAATCAAGCTGTAACAACACTCATCCCTATTTATTTTCTCTTCGGAAGCGAATGTGATACTCACTTCTATTCCTTAAAAAGCAGAAGCTTTCTGCCGGCAACCCGCGAGAGCTGCGGGAGCAGGGAGCGATTCCCTGCCCAGGTACGGGAGCGGGAGGCCAGACCCTGACCCGTCCCGTTTCCCTGCCGTGCCGGTGGGGATGTCAGTAGCGGAGAGGGAATGAGCAGAACCCCGCGGTTCGCCGGTGCCGCACCTGCCCCTCGGAGCCGCGCGGGTCCGAGCGCGGCCGGGGCGGCGGGACCGGCACCGGGGGCGGCGGGACCGGCACCGGGGCGGCGGGACCGGCACCGGGCCGGCCGGAACCGGCACCGGGGCGGCGGGACCGGCACCGGGGCGGCGGGACCGGCACCGGGCCGGGCGGGACCGGCCCCGGGGCGGCGGGACCGGCCCCGGGCCGGGCGGGACTTCCCGGCACGGCGGGCGGGGGCGGCGGGAGGCGCTGACACGTGGCCGCGGCCCGGCGGGGGAGGAGGGAGCCGCGGCCGCCGCGATGTGAGCCGGGGAGGCGGAAGGCGCTGCCCGCATGGCCGCGGGGGGCGGCGGCAGGAATGTGCCCCCGGGCAGCGGCACCCGCGACGGCATGAGGCGGGATGGCGGCGCCGAGCCCTACTGGTCCAGGTAAGGCTGGACCCGCTCCCCTCCCGGGAAAGCCGCTCCGCTGCTGGCGGCGCTCTCCGGGGACTCCCCGCATGCCCCCGGCCGGTGCCCTCCCGGCCCCGGAGCCCCCCGCATCCGCGGTCCCCGCCGCCCGCAGCTCCTCGGAAGGATGCGGCTCCGGGATGGAGCGGGTCGGGCGGCCCGCACTGCTCCCCGAGAGGCGATTTCGGAGGAGCTCGGTGCTCCCCGTCGGCCCGGGAGCCTCCTGTCCCTGTCTCCGTTGCTGCCCTCCGGGAGGGACACGCTCCCACCGCCCCGGGCGGTGTCCCCGTCTCACTCCTCCGGACTGCAGCGGAGACGGTAGAAGGAAGGGGGAAGATAGACAATTACTGTGAAAAACGGGGGGAAGAAAACCCCAACTATTCACCTTATTTCTGGCCTGTAATCAGTGAATTAAACACAAAACTGCTACGAGCCTCTTATCGAAGTGTTCCAGTGGGGATGTTTGTACTGGCGATAGCCATTCGTTAAGATAAAGTCTGGAATAGGAGCTGGGCAGCTGCTAGACAGCATGAACTGCTCTTGATGCCAAGTCATTAAAATACTTAAAATGCAGTTAAACCCCCAGTGACCACTTCTAACAGCAGAGGCACAAGCAAAGGCAGGGTGATCCAGTGTTTGGAGCAGGCTGGGACACCTGGGGCGGTGCTGCTCCTGTCTGCCACTCTGGCAAAGTCATCCAGCACCAAGACCTCAGGATCAGCCTCTTCTCCCATCTGAGGTGCGGTGAGATGATCATTCCAAAGTACCAGCGGGGCAGCTGGAATTCATAGAGGCTTTTCCAAGCTGCGATCCTCTGGACTCCCTGTGCTTGAGAAATCTGGCTGGGTTTCAGCTGGCTGATGTCTGGCTGCCACCGTGGTGGCCAGCCCTGGGGCTGCCCTCTTCCCCTCGCCTTGGGCTGGTCACTGTGCTGACCTCACCCTGGCAGGACAGCAGCAGGACAGCCACAGGACAGTGGCACCCGTGCCAAAGAACAGGAACACGAGGCCAGGGGAAGGGATCACCCCTTCCAGCAGCAATAGCCGCTGATAATTTGGTGTTTCTCATCCCTGGCTTTCCGCAGAGGCAGCAGGCTGATAGCCAGCTTTAATGTGCCGAGGGAGGCTCTACCTGCACTCAGATTGGGGTGTCTCATCAAGTCCACGCTCACTTTAGAGTAACGGGGTGGGTCTTAAAGAAAACCTTTGGCACAGAAGCACTTAATATTTGAAGATTCTTTCCCCTTAAACCACTTAAGAAAATTCCTTCTCTCTGTTCTCCCCCTTGCTAACTTTTCCCTAAGTCTTTCGATGTGGGAGTGGTGGAACCTCACACCAGATTTTCATAAGGCAAAACTTTAGTTCATAGGTTTTTCCTCTAGGGAAAAAAAAAAAAAATCCAGAAAAACCATTTGACCAGACCAAGCTCTCCTGTTTCTCAAATCTCTTTGAAAAATGCAAAACATAGATACCACTTTCCAAAACAAAAGGGGTGAAGACAGCCTGTTGATCGAAACAGACATTTTAAGTGTTTCTGACCATGCTAAGTGCTGCTAATAATTGAGAGAATCCTGTTAATGAGAAAGAGCAGCAGGATAACCCTATGGCACCTCAGATCATTATCTATATTGCTGTAGTTCACAGAAGCTGAGATCATGTCCCCATTGTTTAGTGTTGACACACTCGTGGTCACAGCCCTTCTTTGAGGAGGTTTTATGGAAGTTTTATGGCCTAAAGTAAACTGGGCAGGTGGAGGTTGAGTAAGGGGGAGCAAAAAGGGGGAATGAGCGACCAGATCATTTGAGCAGATTTGTCAAGTTGTATAAAGTACCTCATTGGGTGAAGTGAATTTGGTGGACAATTTGTGAACAGTATATGCAAATAAAGAAATTTCATAGTTTTCAAGTAGTGAATTACTGCCATGGGGACAAGGTGTTATCAAGTGGGGGAAGTGACATGGGTTCTCCTTTCATGCTCCAGCAAAAGGCATGCCAGGCAGCCTTCCAAGATCTGTCAGTGCAAGGAGAGATAAACAGTTACCTTGGCAGGTTTATTTTTCTGTCTTTTTTCATGCTGCTTCTTCTTTTGTCCTCCCTTTTTTCAACTGTCTTTTCCTTCCTCTTCCACTCTTCTTGCCTTATGTTTTCTCCTGCCCGCCTTTCCCAAACTTTTCTGCAGGTTTCCAATGGCTCCATTGTCACACATCTCTTCCAAGAGCAGCACTTGGGGATTTCCTTTGGGGCTTGAAAAAGCCCTCATGCTTATGTAGCACATCTGGACAGTCAGAAAGCATTTCTTAATGTGATCCTAACATGCCAAAGCAGGACCCCTTGGGCAGTGGATGTGTTTAAGCATCTCTGGTTTAACTGAGGGAAGACCAAAGCAGTGAAAAGAAAAATCAGTTGCTGAAGGTTGCACACAAAGCCACCAGCAGATCCAGCAGCGGATGTGGGGCTCACATTTCGGATGGTGCCTCCAGAAGGGAAATGCAGCATGAAAAAGTCACTGTGGCCTGGGAAAGCAAATGACTCCTGAAGCCACTCTGCATCTCCCAGCCTCTGGCTACACCTGAAGACAAGGGGGTGATTATAAAAGTTTCTTTAAGCTGCAGAAAAAAAAGGAGTCCTACCCTGGCCACAGGCTGATCTCCAGTCACCTGATCTTTGCCCAGACACAACAGTCAGTTGTTTTTTCTGAGTTCTGTGCCCTCATCTTTTTGTCAACATGATGTTGCAGCTTTAGTTGGTTGGGGTATTTTTGGTGGTTGGGAGTTTTGTTTTACAAGTTCCTCACCCTTGGTTTATTAGTGACCTTGCTGAGAATTTTTTTCACGTGGAAAATGTAATCAGGGCACACATTTCATTCCTGGCTGATCCATGTATGCCCTCAGATCAGTTTCCAAAGCACGCCTCTGCTTTATTATTGTGTTTTCTCACCACCTCCACCTGGACTCAACAACTACTTCCAGCTCATATGAGCTGCTGAAATTTAATTTCATCTTTGCTTTTGCCGAAAGCAAGAAATGAAGAGAGGGAATAAACCCAGAGCTCGTTTGCTGAACACCGCTTTGTTGCCATCTGCGGCTCTGTGGAGGGAGCTTGAGCACAGGAGGTGGACAGGAAGCCAGCAGATTTCCCAGGAAAAAAAGCCCTGTGTCCTCTGTGCTGCTCTTGTTGGCTGCTAGCTGGATTGGGAAAAAAACATCCAACAACTCTCCTCTAAACCCCAAAGCTACTTTTGACAGTGACAAATCATTAGCTTGGAGCTGGTCTACAACATGACAAAATCTGCTTGAGGTGGGGGAGAAATTACTCCAAGCCTCTCTCTTGACAAGCATGTTAGATTTTGAAGGAGAAATTGTTGAGAAAAACAAAGAATGAGAAGTGAAAGGACTGTCAAACAGGGTTAAAAATAACAACCTGGGTATTATCTCCTGGCACAGGAGTGTCTGCACTGCTGCTGTGTTAGTGCCACATCAGTCAGTCCTGCTTGTGGTGATTATTGTAAATTAAAGCTATAGGCAGGTAAGCTGGAAAAGAGCATTTTTGAAGGAAGATGATCCCATGGGCCTGGGAATGGGTGATGAGGAGAGAAGTGCTGACACACCGTGGTTGACAGGTGACCAAGCACAGGACCACAGGCACCAGCTGCCCATGCTGGGGACATTCCCCTGGGAGGTGGCCTCGTGCCTGGGCTGCTGGGTGTCCTGGGTTTGGAGCTGGTGGCATGGCTGGGAGCTCAGTGCCACCGTGTGGGCTCATCCCCTCCTGCCCTGGGGTCCTGCCAGGGTCTGGGATGTCCCAGTGCTGGTGGCTGGGACGAGTGGGAGGGCTGGGGGCACAGGGGGTGACTGCACTGACATGTTCCCCGTGCGTCTGCCACAGAACTGATTCTAATCTCTTTTTAGAGAGGGGAGCTGAGGTAGAGATGCCCTCCCTGGGAGGTGGGCGTTGTGCTCTGCTGATGGTCCCTGTGCCCATCTTGTGCAGATCGGGAGCTGCAGTTCCCAGTTCTTTCAGTTATGGAAAACACCCACAGACACTGCAGATGGCTTCTGGCCAAGAGCTGTTGCTGGGACAGGCTGTTCGTAGTCGTGCTGTCTAACACAGCTCTCTTACCACCTGAAAATACCTGGTGGTCCTGATTCGTGCCTTGGAGGGGGCTAAACTGGGATGTAATTGAAGCCTGAACTCCAGAGAGTCCATCTCAACAGTGACCTGCAGTGTCTGCCAAAGCCCTGCAGACTGGGGGAAAGGAGGGAGGCGAGTCAAGAGAAATAAAAGTTGAATAAATATTTGCTCTGTGGCATCTACTGGAGAAATTCCTCCAGCAGGAAAACACACTGCAAATAAAGATACCCTGTGCTGCTGGCTCTCCTTCCACTGCCAGACAGCTCAGCTTGCTTTTGCCCCTTTGGGGATCTCAGGCATCCTTGAAAATCCATCCTAACCACTGTGCTGTGAGTGGGGGATCCATTGGGTTGGTGGGAGCTGGGTCTCAGGGAAATCAGTGGATGCTTGGAAGCAAAGACATTTCCACATAGTGCCCAAAGCTGCATTAGGAGGAGGAGAACCAAGGGACATCAGACAAGGCTGCTCAAAAAGCCACCCAGGAAGTGTCATTAGTGCTCTCTTGGGCTAATTATAGTCTGGGTGGTGGTTGGAGGTTTGTGAAATAGGAAGTGTTTCTAGCTGCATGGCTGCTTTGCTCAGTGAAGTCTCGGTGATGTGCAGGAGGGGATGCACCTGTAGTGCCTGTTTCTTCTGGGGAGGAGGGGATTGCACATCAGGCTGGGCACTGGGGAGCCACTGCCATCACTCAGCACCAAATTACATCAATCAGGCGGCTCCAGGCAAGCTCCAGTGATTCCCTGCCAGTGGTGTGGAGGGCTGGTCCCTCTCACAAAAGTGCCTGTACATATAGCCAGGACTGGCCCAGGGGTCTTGGTGGGAGATGCTTGGTCTGGAGGGTGAATCAGGCGTGGTGGCACCAGTGACAGCAGTGGCAGTGATTTCCTGTGCTCTGATTTAGGCTGGTTATCTGCAGCACATTCTGTCTCCCTCCCTCATCAGGGGATTTGTTAGATTTAATCTGTTTATGCTGGTGAAGTTTCACTTCTCAGATGGCTGATGTCACCCACAAAAACTTCTGTTTGATTTGTCCCTATTCGTTAGTTTTGAAAGGAGGGTTTTAATTCCTGTCTCTGTGCTAGTCCAGGTTCCTCCTGTGTAACCTCTGCTGTCCTTGTTTTGCACTGAGCTAAACGTTGAGTCATCTGCAGCCTCTGTGATAACTATAATTAGGAGAAAATGCATTTACAAAGCTCTTTCCTGTGATGCAAGCACGTCATTGTCCTTGCAGGGAAATCATTCCTGCCATGCTTCCAGGTGAGTGTGAGCAGCTACTGATTGCATTTGACACTCATACTCTGCATGGATTTTCCTAGCTGGATGTGCTGCCTACAAGAGGAAGTGGTAGTCTGAAGCCATCATTATATTCTCCACTTCTTGTGAGCATAATCCCTACTGATGCAATTAAATATAAAGGAAGAGAATATAGAATGGAGTAGTAGTCAAAGAGAACATAGAGAGCGTGTTATACACCCAGAGATTTATTTAGTGCTTTGGAATAAAAATAAAAGTCAAGAGAAAATTATATCCCTGGACTTTTGTCAGAACATTAGCTGGAGAGGAGGCTTCTTGAGAGAAACAGAGTAAAGACTCCTTGAGATTCTCAGGTCTTTTTCTCTCCCTTTTACACCTTGCAGTGTTATACAGGGTTTTGGAAAAAGGATGAACTGTTGATCTGGTAGTAAAATGCAGGATAACTGCAGGTTATTCTGAACACACCAGAATGACTGGAGAGACAGAGCTCAGCCCCACTCCAGTGAAAGCTCATAAAGGTCTCCCTTTGCTGCAAGGGAAAAGTAAAATTTAGGAAACTATCTTGGTGGCTAAATAATATAAAATACCTCCACACATCACTGGCTGCTGTGCTTTACTCATCACCTTGATTGCTGCAGGTTCAATAGCTCAAATTTATCAGTGCTCTGCTCTTGGAGATAACGGAGATTATGGCCCTGGACTGGCAGCAGCCCATTTGGGCAGGGCAGGCAGGAGTTGTGCCTGGAAGCATCAGATTCCTGAGGGCTCTCTGGAAGGTTTTCCATGGCTGGTTATCCCCACCTGCCCTCTGCCTTTGGTGGGGGATTTATACCCAAAAGCTCGTGTGGTATTGTCCTGCTGGGGTTTCTCTGACCCAGACATGCAGTGTCCTGGAGCCTTTGATTTCCCTGCGCTTTTCTGTGGCAAGCTGGAGTCAGGGGAACCACTGTTCCTGGAAGTGGCTGGGGCTGGTGATTAAAAACCAGCCCACCTTTGGTTTTGCAGATACGATTGAAGATAACTTCCTCTCAGGGTAAGCCCAGGAGGGGATGTGAGAGCATCTCCCAGCTAGTTGAAATTACTGAGGCAGGTCAACCCCTGGTTACTCATTCCTTCAGCAAAGACAGGTGAGGTTTGCCAGTTGCTGTGTTACTTTGTGCACTCATGCGTGTGCACAGTAACAGCAGTTCCAACCCTCTAAACACCAACTGAAACACTTCCAGTTCCTCCTGCCAGAGGTTAGCACTGAGCTGCTTATCTGCCTTGCCAGGAAACATCAATAAATCCATCTCCAGCAGGTTCACCTGCCTGCTGTGTTCTGCTTTTCATTGTTCCTTCACCTCCGCCCTGTAGGGCCCATTTACACCTTTATAAATGGGTTTGTGCTGTGTGGGATTAACCCACATTTATCATCATTCCACTACAGAGAAATCAACTCTCTGTTTGATGTAAAAGGTGACCCGGGTTCTTTCCCACATGGAGAGTGGGTGTGTTTAGCAGGGTGGAAAGCCCAGAGGTTGCTGCCCTGGTACAGTGAATTCTCCTGGAGCAGAGAGTCTGTTAGCTCAGTGCTTTGTGCTCTGGCCTCTGGGCAGAGAAATAATCAAATACAAATAGTACCAGTAGTGGGTGTTCCTACTCAGCATTTAACTCTGTAAAGACTGGTAAAGGAGAGGACCCGAAGTGGCATGGCTGAGGGAAGGCAGAGGGATTTACCTGCACCTGGGCCTGACATTTGTAGCAAAATGTGTTTGTTTGCTCCAGAAGCCATCACTGACTTGCTTCTCGCTTACTTCCAGCCTGTAGGAGCCCTTTTCTTGAGGCTGAGAGTTCATGCACCAGAAATATATATTCTGCTAACATATTTTGACTCTTATTATCTAAAATTTCTTATCTGTCCAGGCTTAATTATGTTGCTTCTCTTTCTGAGATCTTCAGGCCCATCAAGTCTAAAGAATTCCTGCATATCCCTCCTGTTTTTAGGAGGTAACACACAGACCACCTCCCTTGGGGAATTGCTAGAAATGCCAAATAACTAATGTTTGCTGCCAAGAGGTGTGTCTCATGCAGGTGCTTCCAACCTCATGCCCTGACCTTTCCTTTGTTATCCATATCTTTTAAAGAATAGTTTCTTGATTGGGTGGGAAAAAAGCAGACAAATCAGGTTCCTTCCTGCCTTTCCCTCCATCCACAGCCAGTGCTGTCCAAGCAGCCCATTCCACTTTGCAGCATATGGACAGACATTTGCTGCTGGGGTCAGTGTTTGGGATGAAGTTGACATAGTTCCTAAATTATATATTTTATATATAATATATATTATATTTTTATATATATTTTATATATATAAATAGTTCCATAATTCCTAAAATCCAGGGTTGTCGGTCTCAGATTCAGTCAAAGAGGGAAACGGAAAATTTCTAACCAGGAAGGAGCCTGGGAATCTGCTGGAAAATAATGTAAATAAGAGGTTTATCTCTTATTTGTTCACATTGTTTATAGTTAAGTTCTATCACTGTGCATGAAGTACTCTGCACCAATGGTGTGGGTTGTTTTCACTTCAGGACCAATGGACTTGGTCTGCATGAAGCTCTGAATAAAAGAGCAGTGTATTTTGAATAAACCAGAGTTTTACCCTCCCAGCCTTCTGAGCCAGAGTCTTTTTGTTCCCGTCCCGCCTCAATAGCATCACAGGGGTACACTCTGTGTCAGCACCGCTGTGCCCCGAGAGTTGTGCTGACCTTTTTATCGAGGCAGACAAGCCAAGCCCTAAATCCTGGCTGTGCACTCACCCACGGGCCCAGCATCCCCCTGCCCTTTCCCCACCTTCCTCTCCATCCCTGCAGGCCCGAGTGCCGCGTGTGGACGGCGATGCTGCTGCTGGGGACGTGCCTGCTCTACTGTGCCCGTGTCACCGTGCCCATCTGCGCCCTGGCCCTCAGCTCCGACTTCCACTGGGACAAGAAGCAGTTCGGCGTTGTGCTCAGCAGCTTCTTCTGGGGCTACTGCTTGACACAGATTCTTGGAGGACACATCAGTGATCAGTACTGGAAATTATTCTCATGTTTTCTTGTTTTAGTGACGTTTAGCTTGGTTTTGACACCTCAGTTCCAGTGTGAGCAGTGGCAGTGCCAAGTTTCACAGCGATGGGTGGAGGGTCAGGTGTGTCCATGGGGAGAAGCGTGGCTGAGAAGGGATGTGGGTACTTTAGACTGTCCAGATAGAAGCTGTGGATGTCTCATCCCTGCAAGTGATTCTAGGATTCTTTTTTGATTTGATCTGCACAGGTGATCTTTGTTTTCAGCTCAGCACTTCCAGTCTCTCTGCCCTATATTCTCTTGCAGCCTTTTCACAAGCAAGTGCCCATATACTGTTCCCATCATGTTTAGAAAAACTGTCTTCATTGTGTCGTATGAATTAAAAACCAAACAATTTCCCCAGCTGGCTGTAAGGGAGGATCTGAATCATTACCTGCTTGAGTCCCTTTCCCCAGCCAATCTATTCTTAGTGAGAGAGCTTTTCTGTGAAATCTTTTGTGAGGAGCACATGCCTGGAAGGGATGCATTATCTGTGCAGTGCACTTTGCTATTTAATTAGGGTCCTTTAGAGTTTGCAAGAAAACGCCTGGAGAAACCTGAATGGTAAAAGGCAATGCTGAGGATTGCAAAAGAGCAAATGGAAAACACCATCACTGGTTAAGAGAAGCAGAACTGGTGGCAGCAGTTGGGCTGCCCCTCCACCTCCATCTCAGTGCTGTGGGATCTCTGGGATCAGCGAGTGCTGGACTTGGATAGGCAGTGCTGGCAGGGGTGGGAAGGGAAAAGGTCAGAGCTACTCCCTAAGGGCCAAAAGAAGAACAGGTTTGACCAAAAGGTTGCTCTTAAAAACAGGTTAAACTGGGAAGGGCACTTGAGTCTGGACGACTTTGCCCTTTTGCCCTCCTGTCTTTGATAATGTGTTTTCTGTCTTCCAGAATAGGAGGTGAGAAAGTCCTCCTCCTTTCAGCATCAGCCTGGGGGTTCCTCACAGTCCTCACCCCGCTGCTCACCCACATCACTTCAGCCCATCTGGTTTTTATGACCTCTTCCAGGTTCCTCATGGGGCTGCTGCAAGGTGAGACCCCTGTCCTGAGCCTGTCCATGTGTCTGTCTGTTCAGGGCCTTCCTTGCACAGAGGCTCACACTGAGATGTAAATCCCGTAGTTTGCAGTGCATGAACCCTTCCCATAGGTTTCTGAGAAATTCTCTGCCTCAAAAAGGCCTCCACATCCAGAACTTCCATGGGAAAAACGAGTGACGTTTCTAGAGAAAGTCACTGCAAGTCATTTCCCTGTAGAAATCTCTCTGCCAGACAGGGGCTGCTGGCTTTGGAAATCATCTCTGGTCGTGTCTGGTTTTCCACATTTTAAAACTCCTTCAAAACACTCGGAGAAAATTGGCCCTTGCCAAAACTTTTGGATAATTTGGAGTGATTTTCCTTCCCTCTTGCCAAGCTGCAGCACTGGGAAGTGCATTGGCACTGATGGATTTACAGCAGCAGCGGTGAGGATGAAACAGGATTATGGAGAAGGCACAAAAAAACCTTTGATGGAGATGGATCCACTCAGTTTATTTTATTTTGAATTCTCCAAAAATTCTGCTGTTTGCCTCAGTGTTTAGCCCACTCTGGATCCCTTAAATTTGCTGTTGTTTTGCCTTACTGCTCCCTGCCTTGCTCCTGTTTCTCTCAGGGGTGTACTTCCCATCCCTGGCCAGCCTGCTGTCCCAGAGGGTCCGGGAGAGCGAGCGAGCCTTCACCTACAGCACGGTGGGGACTGGATCACAGTTCGGGTGAGTTCAAAGGCTTTAGCAGCCTCTGACAGTCTCTGGACATCCTAGCTGATGAAATGCCATTAAATAGTTGGAGGCAAAACTCACAGCCCCAAGTACGTGTGGATTCATGGGTCCTCAAGGACTCCTGCTGCAGCTGAGGAAGCCTCAGGCAGTTGCTGTCCTGGCTGCCAAGGATTTATGTATTGTTTTCTCTTTCTTTTCCAACCAGACTTTGAGGACTGTTTGCAACATTTAATTACTATGGGAAACAGCCCAATTCAGTAGGAAGAGCAAGGGTCAGCCTGACACTGGTCACCTGTCCTCTCTGATAGATGGGAAGAATAGAACTTCTCCATCTCTGCTGACTCCATCGGAATTTCCTTTCTAAATGGAAAGGTTGCTTAAAAGCCAAATAGAAATATCACTGTGTTGAATCATTTAGTTTTCCAGTTTTCTCTATTCTTTTGCTGCTTTAAACATTCTCTGGGATACTGCACACCAGCAACCTCCTTTTCTTTCCTCAGTGACCATTTTTCAGTGAGGGGCAGGTGAGGGTGAGGTCCCTTTGGGATTTCTCCTGCCACTGAGGATCTGGCCTGAGATGCCACTGAGGGAACAGGACAGGTTGCAGAGCCATGGTGGGACTGGTGGCAGCACCCACACATGAATGACTGAGAAATTCTCCCCTGTGAGGGTGCTGAGGCCCTGGCACAGGATGCCCAGAGAAGCTGTGGGTGCCTCTGGATCCCTGAAAGTGTCCAAGACCACTTTGGATGGGGTTTGGAGCAACTTGGTCTTGTGGAAAGTGTCCCTGCCCATGGCAGGAGGTAGAACAAGACGAGCTTTAAGGTCCCTTCCAACCCAAATAATTTTATGATTCTGTGGTTCAGTGACAGCAGTGTTGACCCCAGGGACAGTCTCCCATCAATGTGCTCAGTCTGAGCTCTCAGCCAGGCCAGTAATTCTGAGTGCTTTCCCTTGCAGAACGCTGCTGATTGGTGGTGCAGGATCTCTCCTCCTGGACTGGTACGGCTGGGAAAGTGTTTTCTACTTCTCTGGTTTGCTCACCTTGCTCTGGGTTTATTGCACCTGCAAATACCTCCTGAGTGAGAAAGGTGAGTCCAGCTGCATCCCTGGGGCTGGCAGTGCTCCCGAGGGTCTGGGAACTAAGTGATTCTCTGCAAATCCTGTGTGTTTCCAGGATCATGCCTGGTTTCACACAAAAGCCTTTTCCTCAGATGTGTTCTGTAATACACACTGTGTCTCACCCAAGATCCCCAACCCAAAAACCAGGATTTGAACTCTTGCACTGCTGATTTCCTATTTCAAGTCCCATGCTGGATTATATCATTGCTGAGAGCCTGATTTGGCTCCTCAGTACTCTTTAAGCACCAGTGAAAACACAACAGAGCATGATCTTCCAAGTGGATTAAGCTAAAGCAGGACAAGATACTTACTCCAAACTAAAAGCATCTACACACAGAGCTTTTAAAAACCAGTTAATCCACAATATCTCTTCCCAAATAACTGCCTAGGAGTAATTCCACATATGGACAAACCATTACACCTGGCTACAGCATTATTAGGTTGAGTGTGGTATATAGGAGCCCAGCTTGCTGGGAGCTGGGTGTGTGCCTGGTGCTGCACAGAATCCAAACTCAGTCCCTACCAAGGGACTTTTGTTTAATTATAAAACAGATATAACACATGGGTGAAGATGGCTGGATGGGGAGGGGTGTGGAAAAAATTTGATCAGTGTATGTGAAAAATGCATATTTTATGATTGGCTCTTCACAAATATTAAATTGAATAATATATGTATTATGGAGGGTTATTTTGTAATACTGTATTAATCCTTTCTAAGTAGTGTGTTAAATATAGTCTTAGGTTATAACATAATGTTAAAATAGAAACTCTTTTTAGTATTTTAGTATTTTTTTATTATTTATAGTATTTTTTACTAGATCAAGAAAAGGGATCAAATAATCAAGAAACTCTTCACACAGAGATAACAGTGACAGGGAGTCTAAAGAATTACGACCTCCTTATCAGAACAGACAAACATTATTCCACCTTCTCTCCGTCTTTATGGAACCACCAGAATTTAGGGGAAGAAGTTGACAAAAACCAGAAAAATTCTTAATTTGCAAGGAATTTAAGCATCATGTATCAGATATATGAATATGCATCAGGCTGTTGCTTTTAAAGGTTATTCCTTTGCTCACAAGGCATGCTTTTGGCAGCTTAGTTCCCAAAAACATCCAGACGTCCGTAATTCTTTGCTTTTTATTGTCTCGTAGTGTCCTAATCCTCACTGTCCAAATTTTTATTACTCTGATTTTATTACTATTTTTATAACTATTTTACTGTTAATAAACTATTAAGATTTTTAAAAACAAGTGGTCGGTGTTTTTCACGGTGTAGCAAGATGTTTCCATGAACATTCAGCGCTGGTAGAGCCAAAACAACAAGGGTTAGCAGGAGATTAAAAGTATTTTTACAGCAGTGTCCCTCCAGCTGCACAGGTAATTACTGACCACAGCTTTCCTCTGGGTGTTTTCTTCCCTGCAGATCTCACCATCCCCATGAACTATTTAACGAGAGGCCTCTTGGTGCCCAAGCAGAGCAAAGTTCCCTGGAAGCAGCTGTTCAGGAAGGCACCGATCTGGTAGGCAGCTGCATGCATTGGCCAGGCTGGGAGCATCCTCTGTATCCTCCTCTCTGGGCTTATTTCTTCTGCCTCTGTGGTTTTGGTCCACTTATTAATATATTTGAGAGCAGAACCAGTTTTCTAATTCCTTCTCTATAAATAAAGACCTGGAAAGGGAAGCTTGGCAAAGGTGGTTTGTGTTCTGACCACAGGACTGTCAGGTTTGAATGTTACTGGTAAATCTTTCTCATTCCCATGCTGTTCCCCCTGGATGAGTCCTGTGTTCCTCCAGAGTGATATTTTCCACGGGTCTTGTTAGAAATGCTGATTGTAATGGGCTCCTAACGAGTGCAAGTGCTGCTCAGGGGCACTCGGGGCACGGGCTGTGTTCTCATTGCTGGCAAACATCTTTTTAATGGCCATTTTCCCTCTGGGATGCTGCAGTGGGTACTGAAGCTCATCCAAGCATGTTCCCAAGGGCTCTTTTAAGGCAGGGAGGAGGAGGATGATGGGGCTGCAGGGCAGCAAACCCATTCCTGCCTTGAATAACAATGGAGCCCATAACAAATCCCTAGAAAACCCTAAACAGCACCTCTTGGAGCAGGAAGGCTCTTGCAAGGCTGGAAGGGACCTGTGGGAAATGCAGTGGCATTAATTAGCCCTTCAACTAACCTTGCCTGGCCCTGGGGCTGTGCAGTGGGGCAGCAAGGAACTAGTGCAAGGAGAAAGCTGAAAGGAGTGACAATCTGAAACTGAAAATCTGCAACAAAAATCTCAGGAAGCCGAAAGGAGTAATTCTCCATGAGAAAAATCTCAGGGATTTCTGTCGGGAGCTGACATCTCGTGCCCGTTTCCCAGCCAGCATGACCTGTCACTGCTGATTGTTTCCTCTCAGCTGTGTATTTGCAGGGCTGTCATCATCGCTCAGCTCTCCACGGCCAGCACCTTCTTCACTCTGCTCTCCTGGCTGCCCACCTTCTTCAAGGAGACTTTTCCTGAGTCCAAGGTAGGTTAGCTGCAAAGCAGAAGCATTGCTGTTCAAAGGAGGCCGTGCTGGGTACCTGCCAAAAAGGGGTGGAGATGAGGAAGATGATGGCAGAGGGATTTGGTGAGAGCAGGAGGGGTGGGAGGTTTCCCTGTGGTACCCCTGCTCGTACTCCTGGAGATCTCTCCAGGTTGCAGAAGCTGGTTTCTGGTTGCTTGTTTAGGGATGCTGAAGGGTGCAGGGAAGAGCAGGTTGCATTGGGCTCTATACTGCTTTTCTTCTGAGGAAAAGATAATTTTTCAACTAGCACAAAGCTCATGACATTATGCTGTTGAAAATAACCACCATTCACTCCTAGTTTTTTTTTTTTACACGGTTTTTAAATTGGACTAACATTATACAGCCCAGGCCTGCCTGTGAAAATGATAATTACCATTAATAACAATAATGTGTACTTCAGAAATATTACAAAAGCTTCCCTCTCCTCAGCACAAATGATACTCCCATTTTTCAGAAAGCCAGGCAATACTCATCTGGGCTGAGAGCTGGTAATTTCATCTTGTTCTCAGAAACTCAGTCAGTCTTCTCCACAATGGCTCTGCTAGCTTTTTACAATTTCCAGAGCTGCTTACAAATGCCTTTTCATATTACACGTGTAAAGCTCTTTATGGCATACTTGATATTTATATTAAAATCATGTGTTAAACCAGCAAACATATTGTTGTGACAAGATCTGTGCACCTCGAGTAATGTGCTTGTGCAGCAGTAATTTACCATCTGTTAAGCATTATATCATGGTGCCCTTATGTAAGATGCTCCATAGAGTGCTCCTGCAGCTGATAATCGTTTTGTGCTGTTTAAAACGGGCTGAGGCTGCTTGATTTTAAAGGCTGGATGATAATCCCTAATGTGGGTAACCTGTGTCACCTGCTGGCTGAAATCCCTTGCTGCAGGGGAGCTGGGCAGCTGCCTGTGGCCACCTGAGTGAAGGTGATGGAGGTTTGGCTCAGCCTGATGGGCTGTGGGATGAGACAAATTTGGGATTGATGTGCTGAGCAGCCCCAGCTGCTGTTAACAGACAGCAGAAGCACCACCACACAGGGCCCATGGGCTAACATTGTCAAAAATCACCAAGACCCAAATTTCAAAGGCATGGAAAGATGCAGATGGACCCTGATGTGATTTCCAGGAGCATCTTTAACAGGATTATTCAAAACCAAGATTATTCAGCCCTCCCACACATCCCAAAGCCAGACAGGAAGGGGAGATGTCTGCAGAGGGTGATGGGCTCTGAGCAAAGGGGGACATGCTGGGGGTGATGGGTGCATGGATGGATGAGTAGGTTCAACCAGCTGAGATGAAATCCAGCCCAGCCCACACTGATTTCAGATCCTGTGGGATCTGGGCACCAAAGTGCCCCTGAGCAGCTGTAATCCAGCTGACCACTAATCGTCTGTGATTACAGCTGCAGCTCACTTAATTGAAAATAGGCCGAAGGATGTTGCTACCCCTAATGTTACCTAATCCTGCCATTAGAAAATCCAGCTCTGCTCCCTCAGCCTCACACAGTAATGCTGCTAATGAGCTGGAAGCTGCTGGAAATGTTGCCAGCAGCTTTGCTGGGGACCCACAGGAAACCCACACTGAGCTTCCCAGGGCTCTGTGGCTCCCTGCCACGTCATCTTGCTGAGCAGTAAATTTTGCCATGTTTAATCCCTCTTTCTGGAGTTTTCTGCCTCTCCCCTGGATGCAGCACTGCTGGGGAAGAAGGAAAGATAACAAATGTACAAATGCTACAGGCTGTGATGCACCTCACAGAGCTTGGAGTGGGGCACAGTGCAGCTGAATTCTGGCTCTGCAAAGGGGGTACAGGTGCTGCAGCAAGTCCTGGGTGCTTCATTATTTCTCTTTTCTACAGCTACCACAGACTGTCAAAATATTGCAAACAAACTCAGCTCTGGCAACAAATCTCTCTTGATTTTCACTTCTTTTCAGGGTTGGGTGTTTAATGTAGTCCCCTGGCTGGTTGCAATTCCAACGAGCTTGTTCAGTGGATTTCTGTCTGATCATTTAATTAGTCAAGGTGAGAGCTCTTCATGGCTTTTCCTCAGCTCTTAAGGGATGTGGGAAGAGGACCTGGGTGGGAGGAGGTGGGCTTGTTGGTAGGGAGAAGACCCAGCAAATAGACAATGTGAGGTTCTGATACAAAAGCAGAATAAATTCTCCAGTGTCCAAATCCCATTGATGTGTTTGGAGCTCTCTTTAACCTCATTCATAATATTCATGTGGAGATGAAATCTGGGCATCTGAAATCTACCTAAGTTGTAGTTTTCTGGCTGGACAACAAGGTGAGCTGTGCCTAACTCCAAGTGTCCCTTTCTTCTCCAGGGTACAGAACCATCACCATTCGTAAGTTTATGCAGGTAAGAGGGCTGGAGCTGTGGGAGAGGTACCTGAGTTACCAGTTAAACTCTGATTATGTGGCAGACTAGACCTTGTGTGGAGCTGGGATGGGGGTTATAGATGGAAACAGGAGAGATTTTCTGCCTTTGCACATTGACTGGTGGTCAGGATGTGTGAAAGGAAATCAAGAGGAACACCTTGGCTGGGGAACTGAGCCTGGATTAGTGGTAGCATTGAGCACAGCGAGTGCTCTGAAGGGGTTTTCTTTCACAACCTGTCCCTGCTCATTCCAAATGACCCCTTAGGTGCTGAGGAAGGAGCAGTACAAGGGTGAGCAGAAATAGAAATGATTGGTGAGAACACAGTGTATCCTCTGATCTGCAGCATCACATCCCCCTGGACAGACCTCTGACACAGAGGGACACTGGAAGGGGAAAAAAAGAGGAGCACAGGGTGCACACAAACTCATGGCATTGGAAAAGGGAACAGTTTGTTCGTGGCAGGAGTTGCTTTCTTCCTTGCAGAAAACGTGCTGTGGTGTTTAATTTTCCCTTTTTTTCCAGGTCATTGGCTCTGGTGTCTCAAGCATTTTTGCTTTGTGCCTGGGCCAGACCTCCAGTTTCTGCAAAGCAATAGTGTTTGCCTCAGCCTCAGTTGGACTGCAGACCTTCAACCACAGGTGAGCAGAGCCATGGGACAGTGGCCCTCAGCTCCCCTGCCCATTTGGCATTTTGGGGTCTCGGAGGAGGCTGCCTCTGCCCTGACTGTGAGAACAAAGTTGGCACTTGCCTGAGCATTGTTTTGGGACCCTGTGAGGCTGGTGGAGTTTAGTGCCCTGTGGGTTGGAAGTAATCCAGCAAACCTCTAGCATGGAAGGGCTTGGACCAGCCAGTAGGAGGGAGATGGAGCAGGAGGGGAATTGCATTGTGGCCCCTCTGAACACTTTGAATTGAATTGTTTTCCTTCTGATACTCACCTGCTTTACTCTCAACTTCTCCCTTCTCCTGCCAGTGCCATTTCTTGTCCAGGAGCTTTCCTTGTGTTTGAAAAATCAAGCTGTGTAAATGATGGAAAAGCAGTCATGTTCCATTCCAACAGCCATTTATCTCCCCCCTCTGTTTCTCACCAGTGGCATTTCGGTGAACGTGCAGGACCTGGCCCCCTCGTGTGCTGGCTTGCTCTTTGGTAAGGACTCAGTGGGGTTTCTGTGCTGGGGAGGTGGCATCTGCAGGGGGGACATGGTCACCAGCATCAGCTTTGAGCAGGAGCAGCTCTGGGCAGTGTCTGCTCTGTGTGTGCACTCTCTTCCTTCTGTGACAAACCTGCCAGTGCTGGGGGCAGGTGACACCACCAGGGTGCCTTTGTTGTGTCTGTGAGGTGCTCTGCTGCGCCCAGGGATGGGCTGGGGCTGTCTCAGTGGTCTCTGTCAGCTCTCCAGAGAAGCTGTGCCTGCCCCTGGATCCCTGGAGGTGTCCAAGGCCAGGTTGGATGGGCTTGGAGCAGGGTTAGTGGAAGGAGCCCCTGCTTAAACCAGTCAGTGATTCCATGATCACAAAGGCATTTTGCTCAGCGTGCAGGCTGGGGGTTGGTGGCAGCTGTGATGGAAGTGCTCATGTCTGTGGGTTTTCACCATTTCTTTTCACACCTTTTCTTTCCAGGGGTTGCAAACACAGGTGGAGCCCTCCTAGGTAAAGTACATTCCTGCAGCTCATCCTTTCCTGGGGGCCCTCTCCCTGCAGAGGGCAGGATCCAGCCCAGAGCCTTTGCACGTTTCTCTCCTCTGCAGGTGTCATTTGTGTGTACCTGGCTGGATACCTGATCGAGACCACCGGCTCCTGGATTTCTGTTTTCAACCTGGTGGCTGCTGTGAACAGCATTGGGCTCTGCACATTCCTCCTGTTTGGAGAGGCCCAGAGGGTGGACACAGACTCTGTGTACGTGGATCTTTAGAGATCAGCCCAGCAGCAGCTGAAGGACAGGAGAATGTCACATCTATGGATCATTCTTGCACAAGTGCCAAAGAACATTTTACTTTTTTTTTCTTTCAGATGTTTTAACATGAAAAAATATGCTGAAATCAAGTACATAATGGGTCTGGAATGAAACCCATGGGAGAGAAGAAATTTAGAGTTCATTTTTTTTGCTCAGGGCTGTAGCTGGTGGCTCGCAGAGCCGTCCAGCTCAACATCTCCAGTTGAGGATATGCTCTGTGGGACCAGTTTGTCCCAGTTTGTGTCTCGTGGACAAATATCCTTGTGGCCAAAGCAGCTGACCTGACCTGTCTCCCAAGGCTGCTGAGGTTCCATGCCCTCTTGAGGGGAGCTGCTGCTCTGTGTGTGGGAGTGGGGCTCCCGTGCTCTGCTGTCCTGGGACCGCCTGGCTCTGGGGCTGCTGTGCCACCAGGTGTCCTGTGGGGTGTGACAGGAGCATCCCAACCAGTACCTCTGCCCTTAACCCCCGCGTGTGCCTTCCTTCTGCAGCAGGTATCAGCCAGATTTCCAGGGCTGGGAGGTGAATTCCAGACTTCCCTTCAGGGGATGTGTGGCTGGGTGTGTGCCCTGGGCCATGGGGCTGTGCCAGTGCTGCTGTCACAGAGCTGGGACAGGGCTCCAAGCCAAGCCTGGCTTTGCTCAAGGGCCCAAGGTGTCCCTTCTGTCCCCTGGGGTCAGGCTTAGCTGGGCTGACCTTGCAGTGAATCCCTCTGGAGCTGTTTTGTCAAATGCTGTGAATGTATGGGAAGAACTGGTCACACTCTGTGCTGTGGATCTACAACTCCCAAATGCTTTCTGCATGTTTAGATGTGTCCTCCACGTGCTCTCAAAGCACCAAGGGAGACTTTCCAAAGAGCTTGGCATGGGCAGGTTTTGTTTCTGTGTTAAGCATAAATCAAATTTCTGCATTGGGCATCCACAGGGATGTGGTTCCCTGTGTCAGAGGGAAATACTTTGCTGTAGACACCTCTGAGCTTGAATGTCTTAAAGTTATTTATAAATATTTTAAAATTTAAGTTCCAAATCCTATATTTTATGTACTTGAGGCCTGATTCTGCATGCTTGTTTTGAGTGGTACTCCCACCAAATCCAGCACTCTTTCTTGAAGGGGAGGATCTACCAGCCTCCAGTATTTGGTTCTGTAGGATCAGTTTTAAAGGTGAATTTGATATCAAAGCAATTCATTGCTTCTCCTCCAATCCCCTGATTGCAGCCTGAAAAGATCTCTTGGGTTTCTCTAGTGCTTACCAGAAAACTCAGACTGAGGAGCAGGTTTCCCAAGACCTTGCAGTACAGGAAAGCTATAGATTCATGTGAAAAAAAAAAATCCTATTATCCTTTTCCTCACCTTTTTTTTTTTTTTGGGCCAAATTTCTTCTTGGAAGACCTTTTGGAGCTGTGTAAAATTTCTGAATAACCTGGTTTGTAGTGAAAATACTGCCAGCTTTTTAATTGCAGAGACACTAATGGGCATCACTGAGCTGAGCCAGTTACTGGACTGAGTTAGAGATGAGGATGGGACTGCCTGGTGTCTTCCCAAGAGAATAAAGAATCAATGTGGCCTGATGGGACAGAGAGATTAGAAAGTATTTTATTTTTCTCCTTCTGTGCTCTTTTTTTCTCTAAAAGTCTGTTTGCTACCATAGGTACCACTCTATATTAGGTGCTGCAGAGCCAGGAAAGCTGCTGGGAAAGTCTTAAATCAGTGGGTAAATTGGGAAGAACAGCCAGTAACAAACAGCAAACACAAACACAGCCAGGCTTGCCAAAGAGGCCCGAGGCTGTGCAGCCATCTCTGTCAGCTTGTCCTTTATCCAGTCCGAGCAGATTGCTTGCATGGCCTTTTCTTCAGTGACAGGAAAAAAGATCCCCATGGGTTTTGTGGGGTTTTTGAGTGTCTTCCCTGGCCATTCAGTGCTGCAGGTCAGGAGCACAAGGAGCCAGTTCTGGTTCTCTTTGCTGGTTACTCCATTTCTTGTGGAGGAGTCGATGAGTTTGAATCACTCATGTTTGAATCAGGCTGCTTGGCCACCCCTTGGATCTGCCAGCTGGGAGATTTGGAACAGATCTTCAAAGGGAAATGTTTGGCTGTGCCTTCTCTGTGAATCCAGCTGCCATTCCAGTGAGCTGTCCAACTTATCTGTCTCTCTAACTGGCTAATAAGTTAAATATTTGACCTACACTTGAGGCTTATGTTTCACTCTCATCATACCTCTTTGGTGAAGTACTGAAACTGTTTTATCTGTACTGTTATTTGTTTAAGCCAAAGCTTGTGGTGTGCGAGTTTTTGCTAAGGAAGGACCTAAAAAGAATAAAGGCAGCGAATCATTTGCAAACTGTGGTTTTGCTTTGACTGGAGAGGTGTTAATTTGTGTGATCAGTGAGGGGCAGAGGAGTATATTTGATGTGATTAACTCCCGGGGGAGGCTGTGCAGGGAGAGTATCTGGGCTGGCAGATTTTCACAGCATCCTCACGTGTACATCAGACTCGGAGTTCATCCAGCTACATCTTCTCACTGATTTGGGAAAAATGAGTGAAAAGCTGTCTTCAGCAAAGGGTTGGACAGTGAAGCATCAGCAGGCACGATCCAGTGTCACTTGTTGAGAGTAATGACACCAACGAAGTGATGCTTGGGTGAGGTGGAGCACACCCTGCAGGCGCATCACCTTCGTGCTCAAAAAACAAACAAACAAACAAACAAACAAATAAAAAAATACATTTCTGCCTTTTTATATATCCTCGCTGATAGGTTCGAGCAGATGCCAACAGAGGGAGCTGTGAGATCTGGGATGTGGCAGCTCCTGGCCGGGAGAGCGCAGAGCCCGGCCCTGGCACAGCTGGCACAGCTGGCACAGCTGGCACAGCTGGCACGGGGAGCGCGGCTGCTGCCGGTGGTTTGGCTGGCACAGCTGGCACAGCTGGCAGAGCGGAGCTGCCCTTTGGGAGCCCCAGGATTTCCTGTGCCCGTGTTCACTTTCACTCCTCACAGGGCAATTGCGCAGTTATTGTTGGGAGGAAAAGTTTTGGACACATTTTAAAAAGAGAAAGAGCCATTAAATGATTTTTAACATCTCATCCATAATGTAATTGAGAGAAATATCTAAGTACTGTAGACTCCTCTAATTTTCTCATCAATGTGTTCAGAAAAAAAGCCAGCATGGAACTTGGTGGCATGAAAATGATGCTGAGACTAATTGCAGAGTGCAAGTTATCTTCAAATTTCCCTGTCTTTTTGCTCCCCTTACAGAGGTATCAATAACCTCTGACATGCTCATGTGAGCTTTTTTTGACCTTTTAGGTAATTTAGGTGATTTAAAGCTTTTCAGCTCCAATAGGCCACAGACCCACCTTAAAGCCTGCCCTGTTCTCCAGCTGTGCAGAGCCTGAGAGAAAAGAAGGGTTTGGTATTTTTGTCTTTTATTCAATATATATCAATAATTTTTTAATATCTTCTCTCTCTTTTTTCCCCTTCCTTTTTTTAGTCTTTTTTCCCCTGCCACACTCCTTAAATTGTCAATGTCCCAGGTTGGATCTCAGCTTTCCAGCCTGCCCTGAGCAAGCAGGGACAGGCACAGTGCAAAAGGGCCTTAAAGGCTGATCAGTGGCAGGTACCTTGTATTGCTGCTGGGGGTTGATTTGGATTTAAATTATTTGGGATATATTCCATAGCTGGCTGGAGATCATTAGAAGGATGCTGTTTTATTGCAGTTTGCATAACACTAAATCAATAAACACATTCAAGCAGATGGAAAGCAAAACACAGGAGGAAAGTAGCACTATTTGGAGGAGAAAAGGGATAGCAAAGCACTCCTTGCTGGTAGTTTTGCCTGGAAAACACAAGCAGATGCTCTCACAGCAGAGACCTGATCTAACATCCACCTGGCAGCTCCCCAGGGCCAGGACGTGCCCTGAAGACAGCAGCTCTCAAAGGGCACCCAGTCCTGTAACAAGCAAAATATCACCATTTATTGCAGCCATGACCTACTGCGCAGCAAGTAATGAGGAATTTTCCATTTCAAACTTTAATGCAATAATTAAGACATCCATTAAGGTCTTTACAGTTTGGCTTGTAATTAAAAATGGGGTGATGTGGAGGGGGGGTAATGGTAAGGAGTTGCAGTCCAGACCATCAAGCTCCCACTTGCAGCTTTAAGTTCTCTCCCCTTCTCTGTTTGGTTTCTCTCTTCAAAACAATTTTTTGGTTTGGTTTATAACTGTCCCCAGAGCATGAAAAACATGTGAAGAACATTCTTAGTTCCCACAAGTATAACTTGGGTTTAAAAAAGAGCTTTTACCTTCTATCAACACCTCCAAAATACCAATCCTCCTGCGGTGCAGTCCGTGGGGGTGTCTCTGAGCAGTGCCAGGGGTTTTATGCTCCAGTTGGTTTTCAGGCTGGTGTAGCTCCTGCTTACACAGCTCCTGGTGCAGGATTAAGGGTGGGGTAGCATTTAATCCAATAATGGAATGAGATGAAACCCCCATATAAACCCACATCTTCCAAAGTGTCTCTGCTCCTGGGAGGCCAAAGTCCCATTATCCAGTAATTGGATTTGGCCTTCTTAAGCAGGACTGAAAGACTGGAAAATTTTGTCCCCAAATCACCAGATTTTTGCAAAGGATTAAGAAAAATTAATGATTTGACTGAGGAAGTAGCTGCCAGAGAAGCTTTGGCTGATCCCCTGAATCCTTCCTGAATACTTTCCCCTGCTCTTTACAACTCCCAATATATGGGTGACTCTCTCTTGCATCTCCAAGCACAATGCTGGGCATGATCTTCTGCAACTTTGCCATTCACTATTCTCTACAAAATTGTTTTTCATTTCAGCTCCAAAGGAGAAAAACATTGCAATCCCACTTCCATGGAAGACAATGGAAATGTACACGTGTAGCAATTACCAGGAGGATTTTACACAAAGAATTAGCAACCTATTCGTGCATGTCCTGCATTCTCATTAAAGGCAAACTGTTTGTGGGTGACAGGGGATTTTCCTGTGCAACCATCTAGGCTCATTGCAGCTGTTAAATTCCTTTAATGTAAGGGGTTTTTTGCCCCTCTCCCACCAAGTTTCAGACAAACCCACTCATTTACAGCCTCCCCTGTGTGCGAGCTACAGGTGGGGTGGATGCTCCATGAGTCTCATCCTCAGCCCTTCAGATGCTCAGAGCTGCTGTGGACCCTGGCTGGGCACAGGAGCCTTTCTGTATTTTGCTTTAATTTTGCCCCAAACGTGCTCACAAACCTGGTGTCACAAATTTCCTGGTTTCAGTCACCTTTGTGTGGTTTTACTGCTGAGCCAACCTGCTCCTCAGAGCCTGCAGATCTTCTCTGCCTCCTCCAGCACCCTCCCTCCAGCTCCTCCATTCCCCTGCCCCATTCCACAAAGCCACTTGGCAGGTTTTGGGGAGCAGACAAGGCCCCCACGTGTCCCCAGGCTCGTGGGAGGGAGGATGTGTCCTCTCATTGTGCATCCCAAGCCTTGGTCAGTCACTGGTTATTTAGCAAAATAACCCCCCTGAGCAAGAAGTATTATCAGCAGGAGCATAATCAGATATCAGAGAGGAGATCTTCAGATGAGTAATTTATTGAGATCTCTTATTTCATTTTATTTCAGCCCATCTGGGACACAATTGTTCTTTGGAAAGGGCTGGAGGCTGCAATTCCCACTGCAGGAGCCACCTGGAGCAGCGAGAGCTCAGGGTGAACTCCCGTCCTTGCAATCTCATTTTACAGAAGCCTCTAAGTAGGACAGGCACTGCAACAAAGTGGTGACCTGAGAAATGTTAGCAGAGCCCTGGGCTGGTGGAACATGGGCTGCTCTGCACCTGGACACAGGGTTTGGATCCAGGAGCACGAGAAGCCCTTTAGAGTGGTGCCTGCTCTTTGGGGATGTGTGCCTGCAGTCAGCTGGGAGCACAACATCCCAATTTTGCTGTAGCACCCATCCTTTTCTGGCAGGTTTAATGCTGAGCTAAACACTAGAGCATGAGTAAGAAATTGCATATTTTGGCATTTCCCACGGCTTTGGAAATGCAGTTGAATCTTTACCACTTGCCTGTAAGAAGGTGTCACTGCTCTCAACAAAGACATGGCTTTCTCTCTTCTCCTTAAGTGCACTGCCAATTTTTTATCCTCTTCTGTTCATCCTCTCCCTCCTCCTCCTCCTTGGAGATTTCTGGATTAAAGAATAAAGCAATGAATTGATTTCCTGAACGTGCATTAGAGAGGATTATTCCAGGAGATTCATCTGTGTTTGGTGGATTAATATTTCCAGGGAAGCAGCTCCAATCTCAGCCAATACTTCTCTCAACATAGCCTAAAACATTTTTTTTTCTTTTTCAGGCAAGAAGGAGCACTGGGAATGGCAGGAGACAGAGAGCAGAACTTCTCAGCACTGGTATTTGAGCTTTGCTATCTTTTGAAACAACAGGATTTCTCATGCAGATATATGAAAGTTGATTTGTGTGAATTCTGCCTTTTCTTTACTCTGCTAATAATAAAGAATAAAACCAGACACGTGCCAGGCAGGCATAGAAGTCATTCCAGCACCAGGGAAACAGGGAGAAATCTCTATGTATCATCACTTGCCACTAGCAGCGCCCTCTGAGAGAGGGGCACCGCATCCAAACAAAATGGGGCCCTGTCCAATTAATTAATTTGGCCTCTGTGCTCCACACAAACACAGCAGATCAAGGGCCTATTACATTATAAGAAAAGTCTTACAGCAATGCATATCTCTGAATTATACTTCAAGGTAACAACTAAAGCAGACCAAAGCTCCCTCCCTCCTGATCCCCCTTGTACATGGAGGAGACACGGTTTATAATTGAGCAGAAGAAGCAAAAGCTCTTCCCAGGAGAGGTGGAGGCGAGTCAGCCCCAAACCCTAATTGAGACCTCTGAGACCAGCCTTTAGATGTCAAGCAGCTGGACAAACAATGGTGGCTCCTCAGAGGTGCTTGGATGGATCAGCTGCGCTGCCCCTGCGGCTTTAGCAGGGCTTGGTCTGCTGATGGTCAAAAGAAAAGAAGAATGGAATTAAAAAATCAGATTTTATGAAGGAGAGTAAAGGAAAACAGTGAAGGAAAGGATCTTCATTTTCATGCTGCCCTCCAAGGCAAGGAAGCACTGGGTGACATAGCCACACTCTTCTGAGTCTGAAATTCTTAGACTCAAGAGATGGTTTGATTTTTACTTCTAGTCTCAGCCTAGGAGGACCAGAGCAGGAAACCATGAAAGACAATCATCTCCATGTCTGTGAGCTTGGGGAGAGGAGCAGGGCCACTGCCTGGCTCAGTAGAAGGGGTGGGGAAAGCTGCCTGCGGCTGAAGGGTC